TGAACTGCTTAACCGTGCACCAAAGATTGAGAGTAAGGTCTACATCAAAAGAACCAACACGGGTCTCCTTCTGCATTTCCAGAGTCATGTTGACATTAAGTACAAGCGCAGCCTAGTTAACACCATGGTGGATCGCGCTTATCGATTATCTTCTAACTGGTCTTTCTTCTCCGAGGAATGTGACCGCCTTAGAGGGGTTTTTCATAACTTGAAATACCCAAAGCCACTGGTTGAAACTACAATCAAGCGGTTCGTTGAGAGAAGGATTTCATCTGCAGAACCCTGTCCATCACCAGACGTACCATCGGAGACTGTGAGATTAGTGTTACCCTTCAAGGACCAGTCGTCAGCTAATCATGTTAAACAACAACTGAACAGTCTAAGCTCGAAGTTAAGCGTGACTGTCCAACCAGTGTTCGTTAGCCCTAAGCTCGATCAACAGCTTAAGCAACACGAAATTAAGCCCCCTATTGTTAACCAACAATGTATCGTTTATGAATTTAAATGTAACCTGTGTGATGCAGGGTATGTGGGCTATACTCGTGGTCACTTACACGAGCGCGTAGAAGGGCACAAAAGGAAATCATCTTCTATCTACAAACACTACCACCTCCAGCACAATAGTGAAATGCCTGAACGCTTGATCGAGCAATTCAACGTCATCACGAAATGTAACGGCAAATTTGATTGCCTTATTAATGAAATGTTGTATATTCGCATGCGTAAGCCAACACTGAACGTGCAAACGGATTCCATCCGCGCCAAGGTGTTTGTTTAAGCCGTTCAGTCTAATTTATGCTATTCTTGTACCTTTCCTTATTTGCATGTTTTTAAACTAGTCTCTTGAAAATGGAGTCACGATGACCCCGAAACGTCGAGTAATAAATCTTTCCTGGTTTTTTCTATATTTTATTCTTATTGTTCCTAATCTAAACTTTGGCGAGATTTCAGAAATGTCGCTTTTTATTGCATCATAGCTTCTATTCGCTTCCTTTTTTAACAAAAGATACCCAAAACATACACCAGTTTTCCCACTAAGTTTCGGTGCAATTCCTTCATTTAGTCAGCACAGCGGTTTTCCACAGGAATCACACCGGTAACACACTCGTGACACATCGATCCTATTGTCTGTTTGGCTAGTTTCGCTGTGAAGTTTATAGTTTTTACAGTCATTCAAAGAAATGTAAGTAAGTCAATTCCCAACGTCCAGATAGCAAAACTCACACGGCAGAGAACTTCGTAACTCTTTCGATATACGGTCTTTATATTTATATGGGTCGTCTGTCTAGTAAGGTACATGTAATAGTTAACTGGTATAAACTGTTAAATATTAACTGGAATTGAAATGCTATTTATATCTCCCAATCACAGGTCGGTGCATTTCCTACATTTGGTCGCTAGTGTGCACCCTTAGTCAGCCATGTTTGTTTAGCTGTCTGAGGAAGCCTGGGAATGAGTGATAAGAAGCAAATTATATGATGCGAGGGGGTAGGGGATGGGGACAAAAATCCCGTCTCCTCTCACTCCCAAGTTATCCTCGAATGTTTCCTTTGCTGTTTTTTCATCCTTTTAAAGATGACACACGTCCTGTGAAAAGTACCTACAATACAGGCTAAAGGGTAATATATCCCTGTTTGAAACGTAAACAGGTTGCGAGTTAGGATAAACACCCTCCGATTGAACTTGAGAGATCAGCCATAAAACCGCAAGTCGCTGTATGTCTGAGATGAACTTGGTAAAGACTCATCACTAACGTGATATCAACAATCTTCGAATCTAATCGTAAGCAAATTTAAATAGCATGGATTGAGTGATCAACAGACTCACTAGACTTATACGTTCTCGCGATGATTTTGTTTCGTCTCGATCTTTTCCGATTTCTCTGGCTCACAGTTTTGATATCTCGGCGGTTAACACGCTCACTTAAATGTTGAGTTGAGTTGGCAATACCCTAGACTTCCCTCGAGTAAGTGACGCAAATAGATGGGCAAGGAGAACACGAACGACTTCTTCATAAACTGAAGACCTCGCCTTAACTACAGCGGTTTCATCTTAGTTCCTGTAAAATTGCCCTTGGATTCCCAAAAAACTGTACTTCCCCCAACAAAGTTAACTCATATCATTTTTATCTATTTTTATCTAATTTCTGTCCTTTTATTTGTGTTTCTGTTTAGTGTTTTTCTGATCTGTGGTTTTAGTTACATGGGTCAAGAAAGGGGTTTTTTCCCATCTGTATTCTGAGAACACAGTGCATTCGATTTATTTACCGGTAAAATGGAATCCGGAGAAATACGTTTAAACATGTAGAAAGTAAAACTCGATTATTTTTTTCTCTCTTGCTGAAACGAATCGTGAAAGTAGCAACCTAGTATTCCCTGGCCGGCATTTTAAAATAGCGTGATTGTGTCTAAATCCCGTGACGGTAAAATACGCATTACGATCACTGATTTCAAGAAAAATCCTTTAAAAAGAAAAACCGAAAGATCTACTCACGCGATGTTTTAGTCTGTTTATGACGATAGTGCGGCCGACCTTCTTCATTTTCGAATTTTCATTTCATTTGACGATTTCTAGACGGCAAATTCACCGAGCGAAATCAGACGTAGTAGCACTTGCGTACAGGCGGAAGAAAGAGGGAAATAATAGGTCATAATACGGCAATCAGTACAAAGAGTCATTCTCTAATCGCTGAACGCGATGATCCCAAGAGAAAGAAACTCTATTAAAAAGATTGCGACAAAGGATGTAAACATCGGTCTATGTAGCAGCCTTACCCTTTCTTTCGATGAGTTGGTTCTTTCCTATTCTTGATGACTTGACAGATATTCAATAACACTCCTCTCTTAGCCGAGGCACAAATGGCCGGGATGCGATTGAAGCTGTGGGATTTTATGCTAGGGCTCAGGGGAATCCCCTTGAGTTCCGCATTGGACTTCATAGAAGTCGCGCACAAAAGCGTTTTATTTTACTCAGAAATTCCTGAACTGGCAGAAAATAACTAAATTTGCTTGATAAAAACTCCCTGACTAGGAAACACTTCTGTTCTGTCGTTTACAAACGTATTCATTTAATGTTCCTCGTGGCCACCGAAAGGGTTTTTCCCTTATTATCTTGTAGATTACACAGCACCTTCGACTTCCGGTTCAGCAAGTTGTAACCAATTGCAAGCGATTAAGTTCGACAATTTAGAGCACGAAAACTCGTCATAACACTATTTCGTCACTTGCCCTAAAATATCGTGCAGCTCTAGATGTGAACTCTCTAACTGTGCTCTTAAAAAAAAATCAAAAGGGCAAAACACAGTAAAATGTCTTGACTGGTTTACACGTAAACGACCGAACTTTTAGGGTTATTTAAATCGCGTGATTTAATGAAATATTCGCTGTTTGTTTGAAATGAAATCCTTTTTTAACGCGAAGCAACGCACCGGCTCCGTTCTGGCATTAAAGGAAGAGATCATTAGACGGACAATATAGTCGGCATCGAATCCAAATCGGCTAAAAATTAATACAAACCCCAAAAACATTTAACCGGCTCGTTAACGAAGGCTGCGCTTTCAAATTATCTCAGAGGTAACCAAAAAACACAAATATGCTTAAATACACTCGCCTATTTCCATAAAAAACCTACTACTTGGCCAAAGGAGTTGTGCTTCAGAACTTTCAAAACAAGTCTTTAGATCTCTGTCAGTCAACTTCAATGGTGTTTCAATTCTCTTCCTTATCTTCACAACTTATCAGAGTGGACGAATCGTTTGGAACAGATAGGCAGTCTATGGGAAATTTTCACTCCTTTGCCTTCCTGTGATTTATAAACTTAGCAAGTCACCCTCTATTACTTTACCGCCTTATAAAGCATATATTGATTTTTTTTTCTAGAATCTCGTGACTGTTCGTTTTCTCGAACGATCGTTTTGTAATCAAGAATAGCTTTAGTTAAAAGTAAGGGAAATGAAGTTTCGTTTTCGAAATTAGCTACTATTCTTAACAATTTCCATTTTTACCAGATTTCGTGACCGGAAAGCGCCACGAATGAGGAAATAAGAAGTTTACCAGTTTCACAGCTCAGGGAATTTCCCAGCAGATTTGCATAACAAACCGTTATCAATATCGATATCCGCTAAAAGTACCTGATAAGCACATTATTCTTCAGAAGGGAAAATCCCTTTGAAAATCAAAAGATGATTTATAAGATTTTGTTGAAATACAAATCTTTTCCAGGTCTAATGTTGCTAATAGTACGATCCAGGACCAATGTTAGGCTGTCATTTGTTTCAATCTTGAACGAAGCGCAATGAACATGTTTAATAATTCGGGGACATTTATTTTGAAACCGAAAACCAAAGAGACGTGTCTAGACAAGCAACTGTTTGTTTCTAGGGTGACAACCAAAGGACAAATGAGTGTAGTGCGTGGGATGTCAGTTGAAACCAAGGGAAAAACCCCTTTTCATTTTCCGATTTTTTTCAAATGCTAATATCAAGTGTTTCCGTCAAAGCGCTTGATATATTAGGTTTCTGACTTAACAATAAAAAACCCGTTTAAACGAAACCGACTTTGACCTTCCTTTTGTAGTGTAATGTTTACACCGCAAGATTAATTTTGATCACATCCATACATTCGAATGATATAAATAGGATCGCTCGGACATATCGTCGCAGTACTCAGAGAGCGCAGACGACTCAAGCACAATCACTGCCAATCTGCGGAGTTAAAACAAATTCGTTCTATATGGGAAATGGTGAGATTGAAATCTTCTCTTTTCATAGGGTTCACAATTTTTGTGAGTGTGAAAGTAAATTTTTTTTAACAAGCAATTTTGACTGTGAAAAACAAACGCAAAATTATGTTTTGCGGGCAGATATTTAATTTTTCAACTACATTTGATCATCGGTCTCCATGAAAATTGAAGGAAAAAATTAGAATATCACGATGTGTCAAGTAGGCATAATTTCACTCAGGAAAGACCGGATGTACAACTCAGAGGTAAACAAACTAGACCCACCCCTTACCTATAATTCATTTAGAGGCACTCAAATTGTCAGAGATGTTGGAAGAAAGAATTAAATTTCAAAGAGGAGAATGAATATGCTAATTTTGAAATATCAAACGGAAGTGACCTCATCATATGAGTATCATCCAAGGTTCAATTAAGTCAGCCTTGAGAGTTTTTACGGCCTCAAAGTAAGTGCGTGAGTTTAGGAACAAAGATAAAATAAAACAAAATAAAAATAATGGAACAGAGTCCCACAGTGAATATCTATAGATTTGTATAACATTTCGGTTTACTAGAGTCAGCAAATAATGAGGTTCGGAAACCATTCATGTGCCAAGTCAGTGGCAAATACAAAGCCTTCAAAAGCAGCACTGCTCCTCCTGCCGTTGTAATCGAGCACAGTTGTTTAGTAGCGCATGGACACGACTGGAAATTTGTTGTCAAATGTCGAACACCATCAAGTCACCACGAGAGAAATACTACAAACTCGTGCGTTTGGCGAGAAGTCACTGATGTTTTTCCAGATGCCAGGGTAGAACAGAAACACAACGACTTTGTTGTGACTCTTCCTCAACTGAAGGAGGACATTGAAATTGCAGCTTTTGGAATTCCAGGAACAGAAGACCAGAAACGAATGAAAATGGCAATCTTTGGAAAAAAGCCGATCCAAGGAAGGGACTGGAAATTAAAGGTTTATCTCATAGATGACTCGACTATAGCTTTTAAGGTAATACATATGGTACTTACACTTAAAATTTAAAACATCCCTAGACTTCAGCTTAAGGCCTAAATTTGAGTCCAATTTTGTTTATTTACAACAAACTTAACCTCCATGGAGCCCCTTTTTCTCTTGAAATATAGATAAGTTGTGGTTGGCAATCACCAGGGAAACCATGCCGGATTAAACAATTTTTTGAAGGCTGAGGAAATAGATTTAGTAACAATTCCTGGTTGCAATGGCTGATGACACGAGACTACTAAAGGGCTATTGTCTTCATTTTCGATACAAAATATTGCAGGTTATCTAAAGAGTTCTTTCTTTCCATCAAACAGAACGTCTGCGACAAAGAGGAGAGTTTTGGAAACAACTTGTTAACAACCCTTGCTGGTTTATTTGTGTCAAACAGTAAAGAAGATATCAGAATTGAAATCAACCCCATTGAAACTGGATGGAAAGTCAAAGGAAACAAAGTCCAGGTATGCACTTAGCACATATTGAGGACCTAAGGGGACACTGTTCTCTCGAGGCACTAATGAGTGGAGAATTATCTGATGTTAGTCTAAGAATGAGGCTTAGTTCCTCTCCCTCGTCATCCGAACTACCTTGATCAGATGTGGAGGTGCAAACCCTCTTTTTCCTCGACCTCAGTTGAGATTGAACCTCGTAGAACTCATAGAGCGTGTAATTTCTGTATCGTTCCCTCGACGTTAAGGCCCTCCCGTTAATTTTTTTTATATTGTTTGATTTACAGAATATTACAGCAAAAGATGCCTGGCACTCACTTGAAAATTTCAAGGACTTTCCTCACTGCCAATTTAACATCGAGCCCGTCAGCAAATCGAAGCAAGCATTCTTTTGTGGAATAACAGCATCGCACGGAAGAGATCAGGCTAACACGGAACTAGTGGCATATTTTGAACAGGTAGGTTTACGATATGGAACTTTGTATGTATTTGTGACGCTGGAAACGAAGGTTGTAAAAGAGAGAGGGTCAGGCAATAGGAGCGATGAGTGTTGGGAGCTTCAACCCTCCGATATGCTGTCCAATTCATTATCACTATACAAAGGTTTCCTTTTGGTCATACTCTTGTCATCTAATACGGATAGAAATGTTAAAAACAGATACCAGTCCATAAAAAATATTTAACTGAATAAGATGCCAAAAAAAGCAAGGTCTTTAAAGGAATCCGTTTAAAAGGAACATTTATCAGCTAAGTCACTAAACAACACAGTTTGGGTAAACTTCGAAACTATTTTGCAATGACTGAGTAAAAATTATGTCAAACCTTTGGATGGGAAAAGAAAAAGAAAGTATGTATTAAGGCATGCATATTAATTCATTATATTGTATCGTACAGGAGAGAAGCATAGGAGAACTCAACCAACCATCTAAAACGCTTCAGACACTGAACAACACCACCCCCTATGTGAGAAATGGTAACACACTTTGTTCCTGTTCTTTTTAATATAAAAATAGCAACATCGCCGACAGCATTGAGTACAAGAACTTAAACAGAACCTCCACTAACAAACGAGTTCTGTCTGATTAACAATGTCTTTGCAAAGGCTATACTGTAACAGTAATTGGGTGACATGCGTTAATTGACCACTTCTCTGCTCATGAAAGACGGATCCATGCTCTTAAACAATTTATGGCTATATCGCTAGGCTGAATTAAATGTTTACAAGTCGTCAATTCATACTAATGTCTAATGAAAATTATGTGATTGATTGAACAAAATAAAAATTGAAAAAAATCTAAAAGTTGCAACAAGTTGATAAATTGCTAATTATTTATCAATTACATTACAGAGATGAGCTTCTTAATCTTCCTAGCTGCTCTTGTGGCCCTAGGATGCAAAAGCACACGTTTAAAAGGTATGAGCTGTTTTATTCTATTTTATTCTGTTCTGTACCCACAGCAATAATGGAAGGGCACCTGATGACAGAAAAAACAAATATGAAAAAAAATTTTAATGTTGACGACGGTATTTTGTGGAAAAAGTCAATTTTAAGAAATCTAAAGCGATAAGCCGATAGCCAATGACAAAATGACTGTTTCCAACTATGTTTAGTTAAGCTCCGTAAGATTTTTTGTTCGTTGTGTCACTTAAATTTGCCACCGATTTATTTTTGTCACTAGGATCAGCCCAGCACGTCAACATTTGTTGCGAAGCAAGAACGTCTTTAGTCTGGTCATGCTGAACACAACTGCCACCCAAACCTAATCAAGACCTTCCGAGAAAATAAAGCTTAAGTAGAAATCAAGAAATATTTGAAGGATCTCCGTATCAGTTGGCAAATAAACACAAATCCCTTTTACAACTTTTATTGATAAAAGAATTACATTCTGTTCGCTTTATATGTTGTAGTTGTCAATTGAAAATCAGTTTACTATTGGTGTTTTAAATGATAAATATCCGGAGTAACTTATTACCAATGATTGTTGTTTAGAATAAGTTAAGGAAAAAAATTATAGAATTATATAGTGTCAACGTGCTTACTTCTACCTTCTCTCGAATTTTACGTATAGAAAGATACACTCTCAATAGCAAAACTCACTGAGTAAGAATGTAATATTAAATGTACAACGTACAGTTGATAATGTCAAAAACCATTGCATTCCAGTTCAGATTTTGACTTACAGGCGTTCACGCACAATTTACATCTCATTCAATTTGCATTTTTGAAAAGTGAAAGTGATGTTAGGGTTGTTCTCCATTCGTCAAAATAGAGACCAGGTCATCGACAGCTTCACAGGATAGTTATAACTAAAATATCCTTGCTTGCTCGTGAGACCTGAGTTGTCTTTTGCGGATACATTGCCAAAGAATAATGGCAATGTTTTGCATTATCAAATTTCCAACACACATTTCACCGAAAAGCTAGCTGACTGACAGATATAAAGCGAGGTACAATTCGCTCATAAAGTTCATTAAGTTATCGAAGCTAAAGAAAGTAGGAGTTAGTCACTTAAGACTTCTTTGATTCTGTCTACTAAAAGACGTCCGATAAAAAATGCAAATTACCATCTTAGCTTTTAAAGGTAGGAGAAAATAATAATAATAATAATAATTATAATAATAATAATAATAATAATAGATTTCTGATATTTATGACAATTTCAAGAGACTTTTCATAACCTAATGGTGAATTCTCAAAAACCCCAAAAGCAGTGTTACTTCTTTGTCATAGTACGTTTTTTCAAAAAATATGTAGTTGTCTTTAAAAAAAGACAGGCTTTTGGCTGAGTCAATAGAAAGGAAACTGAACTTTAATCCAAAGCAAACAGCCTCAATTTACTCATGATCTGAATCCTGAATTACCATTCAAAGAGATAAAATTGATCAAAAAATTTGTTTGTTTTTGTCTACACATTAAAGACCAAATAATATCTAATGGAAACGGTGTAAAAAGCCGGACTGAAACTTAAGTTGACAGAATATCAACACTCTTACAAGTATTTGGTTTATGCAAACATAATTGAAAATATATATTGTGGTCGTCATGCATAAAAGAAAGGAATCAAACTAAGTGAATTAAGATATTAAAGAGTAATATATATATGGTTTTCAGATAAATTTCAAAGGACAGTTAAGAAATGTATTTATATTTGAAGATGTAATTAATTACCGGAAAAGGCTAGGAATAGTTTGGTTGTTAACAGTAAGGACCAAGATACAGCCGGTAATGCAAAGGCTTAAATTTGTTGGAATAAATTGTTATTCCCCGGAATGGGTATTATTGTGTCGTGTACTTCCTAAGATTCCTAAGATTCTTCTTTAGGAATGTGCACAATCCAGAGTTCCATTAAGGGTTCGTTGATTTAGGATACTTTTAACTACAGCGCCGATCACTCCAATCCCTTTAGAGTTATCGATCGAGAGTCTACTGTCTCTCAAACGGGGTTTAAAAACAGTGAGAATTTGTTTGTTTGTTTTAATTTAACCAATTAATCGTTTCTCTGTTTGACCGTAAAACGGAGGTTGAAGGACGTTCTATTTTTGGGACAGCAAGGGACTTTTATAATGCATATTTGTCTCATTCTATTTCTTAGGTTTCTTAGGTAAGATGACGTGTAAAACATATCATGGTATTCACCATGGCCCTCTGGTAATCTTTTCTTTTATCTCCGGATTTTGCTTTTGAAGATGGGTTTATGAAATCATAACTCAAGGGACTTCCCGTACTGTTTGCTTATTGATGATTAAAAGAAAAGCTCAGCAGAAAGAGTAGAGGCAAAGACTAAACTTGTCGGCAATAAGAGAACAACATAGAATCAAATTAAGAAGTTCCAGTTAACTACCAATGAATGATATTTCCACTTTGATTATTTACCATAAAAAATCGTAGAAAACAAATGAGAAAAAGGGAGAGAGCCGACGTTAACTAGAAGCGATTATAAGGTAATAATAATAATTAATAATAATCTATTTACTTAGATAGCGCCCTTTAACATTATAGGATCAAAGGCGCTGTAAAAGTACTTAAAATTAACTCACTACTTGATACAGCAAACATTCACCTGTAGTAAATGTTTGGTATGTTTTTCATCTTTACGAAGCATTGATTTTAAAAAGTTATCCGCAGAATTTATATTTCTTTTTTAACCTTGTTTTCGAAATGAAGTTTAAATAAAGAAATCAAGTGCCCCACACTCCCCTTTATTGGTGGCAACAATGTTTACGAGCAACGACTACGACAATTGGATTACTGTAAAATCAAAAAAAGGTCTTGGCTCTGCCTTTCTCGTTTAACGCTTTAAACTGGAGCTAGCTCCACATTCCTGTCGTCGTCGATGAGAAACTCAGTTTTTGGAGTATTATTAGATGGATTTAACATTAAAGTCGCATATATCTATTAAAAAATTGATGGTCAGGTTGTTGACTTCAAGTTGGCAATGTCGCACACGAAAAAAACCTAGAAAAGAACAAATCGTTAAAAAGAGGTACCTTCCGCAAAAAGACGCAGCTTGGCGTTTATGATGGAGAATATTGGCGCTGTCTCATAATTTGATAATTTACAATGGACTGATTTTCCACGAATATCTAAACACAAGGCAAAACAAACATCTAACACAAGGCAACAGGATAAGAATTCCGTATGTGATCTTCGAAAAGGAAAAATATAGGAAACAAGGAGAAGTATAAAACTATATTTTACTGAGAGCAAATAAACTCAACTCCCACGATGCCCCTTTCTCTCTTGAGATATAGATAAGTTGTAGTTGACAATCGTCAGGTAAAACATGCCGGATCAAACACGTTTTTTGAAGGCTGAGGAAATAGATGTAGTAACAATTGATGGTCAAAATAACTTATGCCTTAAGACTACTAAAGGATTATTTTCTTCATTTTCGAAACAAAATATTGCAGGTTTTCTGATGAGTTCTTCCTTTACATCAAACAGAGAATCTGCGACGAAGAAGTAAAGTTTTGGAAACAACTTGCTAATTCATTTGTGTCGAACAGTAACGAAGATATCAGAATTGAAATCAACCCCATTGAAACTGGATGGAAAGTCAAAGGAAACAAAGTCCAGGTAATACACATTGTTCATTTTATAACGCTAATCTGTACATTGCATGAGGACCTAAGGGGGAGCTCTTCTCCCGAGGCACTAATTGGAGGAGAGTCATCTGGTTTTGATCTCAGAATGAGGCTCAATTCCTCTCCCTGGTCATCAGTTACCTTGATTAGTTGTGGACGTGCAAACCCTCTTTTTCTTCGCCTTCAGTTCAGATTGAAAGTCGTAAGACTCTTAAGGAGTATACAAACTGTTTTTTTCACCCATTAGGCCCTTCCGCTGAGTGGCACGTTTTTGTCCTGAACTTAATTTTTTTTATCGTGCTCAAATTACAGAAGGTTATAGCAAAAGATGCCTGGCATTCGCTTGAAACTTTTACAGGCTTTAACATCGAGCACGTCAACAAGTCGAAGCAAGCACTCTTTTGTGGAATAACAGCATCGCACGGGAGAGATCAGGCTAACACAGAAGTAGTGGCAAATTGCTAGGATCAGGTCTACGATATGGAATTTTCTGTGTATTTGTGACGCTGGAGACGAAGGTTATTGAAGAGAGAGGATCAGAGAATTGGAACGAGGAGTGGTAGGAGCTCGAGCTCTCCGATATACTTTCGAACTTGTAATTACTAAAGGTTTCCTTTTGGTCAAACTCTCATCACTTCACACGAATACATATTTCTCAAGCAGACGCCAATCCATTTTTATTTTGCCGCAAAGATGTGAAAAATGCATGCGCTTGTAAAGAAACATTTTATCAGTTACCTCCCCAACCAACACAGAGTAGATGAACTATTTTGCTATGACAGAGAGAATATTAGGATCTACGCTTCGATGGCAAAAAGGAAAAATTGTGTCTTAAAATCGAAATTTTCAAGAAACTCTAAAGTGTGTAACTATCAAAATAAATATACTAATTTATCAATTTCTATCATACAGGAGAGAAGCAAAGGAAAACTCAACCAACCACCCTCTAAGCGAGAAATGGTAATAAGATTTATTCCTGTTCTTTTCTATTAAAAAAACCCAACAACAACAACAACAGCAGCGACAACATCGCTAATAGCATAGAGTAAAAGGACATAAAGTGAAAATCCACTAGCAATCGAATTCTGTCTGATTAAACCATTTTGAGAGATTATTCTTAACCTATTGGAGGAGTTATGATACAACCAGAAGTAAATGTTTCTCTTCTGTATTCGTGCTTTTTTAACAAATCGCAATTTCTCGTTAAAAAAGGAACAATTTAAGTTCCATCCAAATTGGGGATCCTGAGAGACTTCAGTTCTAGTGGAGAGAAAACGCAATGACGTTCAGGTAACCTTGCCTGTGCTAAGAAAAAATTTGAAGTGGCAGCCTTTGGAGTTACAGGAAAAGATGACTAGAAGCGAATGCAAGGCTTTGACTAGAAGATTAGGATTTAGCTGATAGATGACACCGAAATGGCACTCAAGGAAACACACTCCTAGTCACAATTTTTTTTCTAGGCTTAAATGTTAAGTTAAAAAGAGGAAGAAAGAAAAAAAAAGGGAGAGAAAGAAAAGAAGAAAAGGAAGGATATTACCTTAATGACCCTAAATATTTCATCCTCAGATTAATCTTTTAAATTCGGCCAGCATTTCTGTCTCATTTCTGTCTCATTTCTGTCTCCTAATTGAGTTTGCTCACAGTTGTTCTAATAAATTAGTTTATTGTTGCTGTTTTTTGCATGTTTGACTGACTTGTTTGTTTGTATGTTGGTTTGTTTACTTGATCTGTTAAGCCTCTTCACATTTTTCCTTTTATTCAATTTGCAGCGGATTTGTAAGGAAGGAGAAGATTCAGGAATCAAATTGTTAACAACACTTTCCAGCTTATTTGTACCCAACAGTAAACAAGATATCAGCATAGAATTTATTGACTTGGAAGCGGGTTGGCAAATCGCTGGGGATAAAGTGGACGTAAGATACTCAATAGGGAGTGAGTGTGTTCTTGGATAGTGTGACTATCAGCGATAATTGAACCTATAGCTAGAAATGATAGTTCATTTTGATGTTAAAACACACATATTACCCGCAAATAGCGCGTGACACTGCAATCATTTAAGGGCTCTGATTCCCAGATCCTGAACTTTCATACAATACTCTTCCTTAGACGACAGTATCAAGAGATGCCTGGAATTCTCAAGAAAATACGACGGGTTTTCCTTGGTGTGATTTTGTTGTGAGTCACGTTGATACAACCAAGTAGCAGTTCTTCTTTAGAATAAGAGCAGTACACGGAAACGACAGCGCTGGTAACGAGGTAGTGGCCTTTGTTCAGCAGGTAAATATTATCATCATAATCTTTATTTTTTTCGTTTTAAATCTTCATGAGTATCTTAATGTAATCGTATTTTAGAGAATTCACAAAGACGAAGCAAAACTGAAATTACCATACGATGAAAGCAAAAGATGAATTAATAAATGGGCTTCATTAAGGGAAGTTAAGCTACCTATTACTGTAGTTTACGAGTGGAGGAAAGCAACTTGTTTGGAAGGACAGTGTTTAAAACAAAACGAAACAAAAAATTAAAAACAAAAAAACAACACAGCAAAACAAAAACAAAGCGTAAAAAACAGAGGAAGAAAATTAATTAATAATTAGTTCTGTTGATAAACGTTTGCTAACATCATGAAAAGTGATGAGTCAATCCTCCTTTTTTCTATTCTACAGAACAGCGATACCAAGATCAACAACCCACCTGAAAAGAAAATCAAGAACACTCATCAGACAAACTGTTCGAAAGATAAAACAATATTTGTCTCCTTTTACCTGTATAATTAACTAAACTGGCCATTGGTTCCTCAATCATAAATACACAATGTCTTTTGAACATATCCTAAGGGTTTTAAGCGAGAGACGGCGGAATTACTACAAGATATAGTTCTCGCCGACTATTTTAGAGCCTACAATGTGTATTTATAAGATGTATAGAGACGAAGTTTACAGAGTTTCTGTCGTCTTATGGACGGGAGTCGTTTGGCTAAAACTCCCTCAGCACTTGGCCGTGCTAAGATAGGCATGCTTAATCAAGCAGCGTCATTAAGTAAGAAATATAAACCTTATGGTGGTTAATCTTTAGTTCATCGAGTGAATAATCCATGCATTTATTCATTCATTTATTTGACCAACGAGTTATTCATTTCATCAGAATCCAGTGCTACAGGATGACTTCTCTGAGAAAGATAGTCGGTGTGAAGCTTCTGTACAAGCCTACCTTGTAGCTTTATGTATCAATGTTATGATTCCACAGTTCACTTTAGAGACGCGAAGAAACTCTAGAAACGATGTGAAATCCCCTAATCCAAGAGCAAATAAGGGTATCTAAACAGTTTTGACTTTGTTTTTACAACGCTAGCTAAAGTGCATGAATTGTAGAACACAAATTCATCAAATAAAAGTGTCAAAGGCGCGTTCCTTGGTCATGTTTTCTTTTCATCACTGAAAAATTCGCTTGTATTTGAGTGCACGTTGCCATTTGCCAAATTTGAGAAGAGCTGATTCAAGTGTATGGAGCAATATGAAACGTTTTGGAACTTTTCAACTTGAGAAATTTTAACCCACCCCACCTCCAAACAAAAATAAATAAGCTAAAAGAATACATAATTGAAGCTTGAGTTCAGCATAATTTTGTTTTATTTACCATGACATAGACAGCGCATATGATTTCCTTGTATCTACGTGTAGACTACAATCGAGGGCATACTACTTAAAGATGGTCAAAGCTCTTTACAAACCAATCCGCTAAGGAGACATCTCGAAAAACGATGTTTGTTTGCTTTATTTACATTCAGTTCTGACTAATCTAGGGAGCGTACTTTATGCAATGTTTAATCATTCATGCAACATGAATCCACGGACATTGATAACGATCTTTACATATAATCCTAGGCACTAAGAAAACGACAATGATACGTAGTAGATTAAAATCATTATCATTGTTTGCCAGAACAAGCAAAGCTACATTAAGGGGGGAGGTAAAACCGATTCCGTTTTCGCCCTGGTTTATCCCACCCAAACCTCCAGACAACAAAGATGAGAGAAAAGAAAGGGAGTAAAAACAAAAATAAAAAGGTAAATGGTGAGGGGAGAAGTTATAGAGACAGCGAGAGCGGATCGGCGTAGTTCGGTCGATGTACAGTGAACGTCTTCTGCTATCTGTCACGGCTCACGGCTCACGGCTCGCGCCTCTCGGCTCGCGGCTCGCGGCACCCCGAAACATTGCTGGCTTAGGACACGAAATGTCTCAGTCCTGCTCGCCATCGAGCGACTAATTTCGCGTGTTCAATCGCAGGAACGTCGCTCAGGTTTCGACCTCAGCTTTCCACGCCTCTCCGCCACTCCAAAGAACAGAGGTTCTACTCAGGGGTGTGGCCATGCTCCACTGGTTGTCTCGTCTCGTTCAGATGAGTCTGCTGAAGAAAAGTTAGGAAATTTATCATTATTCATCGATCGATAAGACACGTAATCTTGTTGCGATGTCAAGATAGATACCAGAGTTCAAATACAGTTTCTTGTTGGCATTGCTTTGTTTAGCTTATTTATTAGCTCCTTTCCCAGCAAAATATGTTTCAAATTTATGTTGTTGTTTGAGCATATTCAGAGCGCCTTTCATTTAATTCCAGTGATCAGTTTGTCGCGGGAAGCCGCTTTTCTCGTCGAATTACCTCTTGTCATTCTTACAACACCCCAGGTCATTTGTGTTATACGTAGTAGGTAACACTATGCCACAAAAAGATTGAAGTCTGTACTTGATTACTGATTAATTACTTATATATAGATTTAGTATAATTTCAGAGCTGAGCAAAGAGTTTCCAGCAGTCTGATTGGTCGAGCGGTTCCTTATATGACGCTATATAAACCGCTCCACGCGGTTGATATAAAATGTTAAAATAAAATGTTAATAAATGTTACTAAAATGTTGTGATTTTAGAAATTTCTCTGAAACAATTATTCGCCTCAGGTTCGGTGAATATCGTCGAATAATCCCCGAGACGAGGTCGAGGGGATAATTCGACAATATTCACCGAAGCTGAGGCGAATAACTGTTAAATATATATATTATCATTTTATTCTTGTTTTTGAAAGCCACATTACTCACCGAAGGTATTTTCACCTCCAACAGCTCTGTTTCGAGGAGAAGGTCGTTCCTCTCATTTGTCAGTTTTACACCGACCTTCAGAGAGGTTACGTTACCAAACGGAAGGGTGAAAGTTAACTTCTCTGGCAGTGTAAACTGGTCTATCTTTGTTCTTTCAATCTGAGTGAACATATGAAAAAACAAGTGAAAGTCAGATAAAGCACTATTCTCTAACTACAGCCAAGCTCTTTCAATGGATCACCCATAAAGTGAACCAGTATTAATCGCAAAAACTGTATGATAGAATACAGTCTCCACTGAAACTCTAATCTTACAAAAGATTATTTTGTACATAGATGCATATAACTTTTAATTTTTTGCGCCTAAATTCAAACCTCGAAATTGATTCTTCTCCATAGTTTTCCGCAGAGTAAGTTCGTGTCTAAGTTGGGAGGCTAACTCCCTTCCATGTTAGTGGTAACTGACCCCCAGTCATATGTGGAATTTAGACTTTTGTGTTTATTTGGTTCTTACCTGTTTAACTGCTCCAAAATCACCCGTTTTCAACTCGGCTATTATCATCTGCGCTTCCTTTTCTTTCAAACAGAATCTGTCGATGTGAACCCTCGTCATACCAAGTTGAGATTGCTCCTCCTGAAAACAAAACCACGACATCACTAACTTGTTATTTCTTCCTCGAGCTCAGATGTGACTTCAATTTAGAGCAAGTGACGAGAATTAATAATTGTCTCAGGAGAAGAACGGTTATTTTTATGTAACGCTAAATTTTCCAAACTCATTCACAAATAATATTGAAATAGCCAGATGGGAGAATAATTTTTCTGGTCTGAGAACATTATTGGGCTGTTCATTCATTTTCTCTCTTCAAAAAAAAAAAACAAAACAAAACAGAAGCAAAGACAAAAAAAACAAAACAAAACTGCCAAACACACGAAAACTCGCAACTGCTCCTTCACTTGTGGTGATAAAGTTGGATTTGAAATCAGTTTAAAGATGGAAGGATATCAAGTGTTCTAAGATTTCTCAAAGAGGATGTCTTCTCACATCAAAGTTATGTCTGGCTAAAGTATTTGGTTTAAAACGGTCGAAAAGTTATTTAAAGTTAGAGAGAAGTGACTTGTAGCCACCATTTCTTCTGGAACTACAATAACAGCACAGAACATACTTTTAACAAATACCTGTAAGTAAGCTTTTCTACTAAAGCCTCCATCTTTGGTTAGGTAGAGCCAAAGCTGCTTGCGTAGCTCACTTTGGCTTTGTTGCCCTGGTTGTACGAGGCTGTATGCATCCACGATGTAGTCATACCCACAACCCAAGCATACTTGTTTTGTTGCGACCCCAACGTCGTCAGGCATTTTTCTGCTAGAGGAGGGACGGATACACATTAATTCACAAAAACCGTAGACGCTTTTTTTAATAGGGCAGAGTTAAGAGTGTGTACCGCTAATTTTGTGCCGATTAAATGAAACAATTGTTAAGTATTTGTTCTAATAATGTGCACCCCTCAGTAAGCCACGTTGGATCACTTGACCGAGGAAGCCTGGACTGAATGCAAGTAAGGAAACTTGGATGTGATGTATCCCGAGGGGGGAAGGGGAAGATGAAAATTGTTATGTTACGCTTCAACTCGCAGTGTTTTTTAGATTAACTTGATAAAGGCTCACCATTAGCGTGATATCAACTATCTTCGAATGTTATCCAAAGCAAATTTAGATAGAGTGGATCGACTGATCAACAGATCCACTGAACTTACGCGTCCTCGCGATGCGTTGGTTTCGTCTCGATCTTTTCTGATTTCGCTGGCTCACAGTTTTGGTATCTCGGTAGTTTACACGCTCACTTTAGTGTCGAGATAAGCTAGCAATACCTTAGTCTTTTCTCAGATAAATGACGCGAATGGATGAGCAAGGAGAGCTTCTCCATAAACTTCAAGGCTTCGCCACAATTACAGTGGTTTCATTTCAGTTTCTGTCATGTTGCTTGGGGATTCCCCTAAAACTGCCCTTTGCTCTCACAAAGATGCCTTATATTATTTTCCATCTATTTCTATGGCATTCCTGTCCTTTTCGTTGCGTTTCTGTTTATTGTTTATGTGATCTTTGAAGTGTTTTTAGTCGAATGGATCACGAAAGGGGTTTGCCCTTTATATTTTGATAACACTGCACTTTCGATTTATTTTCTGGTAAAGTGAAACCAGAAGAAATACGTTTAGACGAGTACAAAGCAAAAACTTGATGAATTTTTTCGTCTCTTGTTGAAATGAATCGTGAAAGTCGCGTCCTGAACTTTCGTGAACAACATTTTCAAATGGCAATATTTTGTCAAAACAGCGTGAAGGTTAAATACGCATTATCGATTTCATTAAAACCCTTTCAAATGACAAACCGAATCTTCTGCTCACGCGATATTTTAGTTTGTTTATGACGATAGTACAACCGGCCTTTTTCATTTCTGCATTTTCACTCCATTTGACGATTTCTAGACGGCAAATGCACCAAACGAAATCAGAGGTAGTGCGCTACGGTAGAACTGTAATACTCGCAGGCGGAAGAACAAGGGAAATAATAATCAGTGGGTTACGTATGATAGATTAAGTACGTTAGAGTGTAAATAATCACCTGTCACTACAGAGGGTCATTCTCTAATCACTGAAAGTGATGATCCCTAGAGTAAGAAACCCTAATAAAAATATTGCGACAAAGGATGTTGAATGATCGATTGACCGTATTAGCCTTACACTTTCTTTTGCTGAGATAGTTCTTTGCTATTCTGATGAGCTGACAGATATTATATAAGACTCCTCCTCTCTCAGCCGAGGCACAAATGATCGGAATACGATTGAAGTCGCATGATTTTATGCTAAGGCTTAGTCTCCACATGCCTTTTGTGTTTTAGGGGAATCCCCTTGAGTTCCACCTAGTTGATTTTCACAGAAGTCACGCATAAAAACATCATATTTTACTCAGAAATTCATGAACTGGCAGAAAATAGCTAAATTTTCTTGATAAAAATCCCCCGACTAAGAAACACTTCTATTCCATCGTTTACAACCGTATTCTTTTAATGTTTCTCGTGCGACACAGAAAGGGGTTTTCCCTTTTATTTTGTTGATTACGCAGCACTTTCGACTTCCGGTTCAATAAGTTGTAATCAAGCGATTGAGTTCGACAATTCAAAACACGAAAACTCGTCATGCCACCACTTCGTCCCTTGCCCTGAAATATCATGCAGAGAATTAAACTCTCCAATTGTGCTCTTAAAAGAAATAAAAAGGGCAAAACACTAGAAAAAAGTCTTCTTTGGTTTACGACCGAGCTTTCAGAGCTATTTAAATTGCGTGATTGAATGAAATACTCTTTGTGTGTTTGAAATAAAATCCCTTTGTGATGCGAAGCAACACATCGGCTCAGTTCTGACATTAGAAGAAAGAGACTATTTGATGGACAATATGGCGGCCGGCATCGACATAAATCAGTTAAAACGAATACAAACTAACTTGATCAATATTTAACCGGGTTGTTAACTAAGGCTGGGCTTTTAAACAACGTCAGAGGGAACCAAAGAACAAGAATACTCCTAAATAAATTCGCCTATTTCCATAAAGAAACTACCACTTACCCAAAGGAGTTGTCCTTCAAAACTTTTAAAATAAGCCTAGATCTCTGTCGATCAACTTCAACTGAGTGTTGCAATTCTCTTCGTATCTCTTCGATTCTCTTCCTTATCTTCACAACTTTCAGAGTGGACGAATCGTTTTGAAAAGATAGACAGCCTATGAGAAATTTTAACAGAGCAAGTTTTTCTTTATTGCCTTACCGCCTTACCAAACATGTGTTTGATGTTTTTCTTTTTTAAAAATCACGTGACAGCTTATTCTCTCGTACGATGCTTTTCTAATCAAGGTCATTCAAGGACAGCTTTTGTTCAAAGTAAGGGAAATGAAGTTTCGTTTTCTAAAATTGACTACCATTCTCAATTATTTCCTTTTTTCTTTTACCAGATCTCGTGAGCGGGTAACAACATAAATGAGGAAATCGAAAGTTTATCCACTTTGCAGCTCAGGGAATTTCCCAATAGATTTGCATAACAGACAGAGATCAAAATTAATATCCGCCGAAAGTGCTTGATAAGCACATCAATGTTCGGAAGGGAAATCCCTTTAAAAACAGCAGATGAAACAATTCTAGGTCTTTTTTAAAATTTTGTTGAAATACAAATTTATTCCAGGTTTAAACTTTAAATATAATATTTCCTTATAGCGTCAGTGATCCAGTACCTATGTTGGGCTGTCATTTGTTTCAATCTTGAACGCAGCAAAATAGAAATGTCTGTTGATTCAACAGAATTTCAATTGAAACCGAAAACCAAGAAGTGTCTAAACAAGCAACTGTTGTATTGTTTGGTATCTTTGGTGGCAACCAAAGGACAGCTGCGTACAATGTGTGGAATGCCACCTGAAACCAAGGGAAAAACCCCTTTTCATTTTCGGTTATTTGAAAATGCTAATATCAAGTGTTCCGTCCAAGCGCCTTTGCTATATTAGATTCTGATCTAACAATAGGTACCTGTTCAAGCGAAACTGAATTACACCGTCCTGTTGTTAACCAATGCTTACATCATCATCCGTTGGTAAATATTTAAGAGGGAGCGCGGTGTCAAATCGTTGCAGTGCCTAAAGAGGGCAGACGAATCTAGCAACTCACTGCCACTCTGCGGAGTTAAAACAAAGTCGTTCTCTATGGAAAATGGTGAGATTAAACTTCTTTTTATTGTTTATTTTATGGGATCACAACTTATATGAGGAAAAATTGGATATAAAGCAACTTTGTTCGTGGAAAAAAAAAATCTAAAATTATGTTTTCTGAGTGCATTTATAATTTTCCAACGGCATTTGATCATAAGTCTTGATGAAAACTGAAAGTAAAAAACCGAGAATATGACAGCGTGTCAGGTATGCAAAAACTCTCTCAGAATACTAGGAGAGACCGGATGTACAACTCAGAGGTAAACAAACTTGAAGGCACGTAGTCCGCCAAAAAATTACCTCATGCCACAGCTTTACTTTACTCAATATTTCAACTAGCTGAAAGGATGAAATATTTTAAGCGCTCTAATTGTCGGAGATGTTGGAAGAAAGAATTAGATTTAAAAGAAAATAGTTGATAAGCTAATTTCTACCTAAACTGTCGTGTTGGCGGATTAGAAATATCGAACGGAAGTGACCTCGTCCAAGGTTCAATTAAGCAAGCCTCAAGAGTTTTTACGGCCTCAAAGTAAGTGCGTGAGTTCAGGAACGAAGATAAGATAAAATAAAAATAATGGAATAGAGTCCCACATTGAATATATATAATTCTTATAACATTTTGGTTTTACTAGAATCAGCAAAATATGAGGTTCAGAAACCGTTCATGTGCCAAGTCAGTGACAAATACAAAGCCGTCAAAAGCAACACTGCTCCTCCTGCCGTTGTAATCGAGCACAGCTGTTTGGTAGCGCGTGGACACGACTGGAAATTTGTTGTCAAATGTCGAACACTATCAAGTCACCAAGAGAGAAATACTACAAACTCGTGCGGTTGGAGAGAAGTCACCGATGTTTTTCCAGATGCCAGGGTAGAACAGAAACATAACGACATTGTTGTGACCTTTCCTCAACTGAAGGAGGACATTGAAATTGCAGCTTTTGGAATTCCAGGAACAGAAGACCAGAAACGAATGAAAATGGCAATCTTTGGAGAGAAGCCGACTCAAGGAAGGGACTGGAAATTAAAGGTTTATCTCATAGATGACTCGACTATAGCTTTTAAGGTAATACACATGGTACTTACACTTAAAACATCCCTAGACTTCAGCTTGAGGCCGAAATCTGAGTCCAATTTTCTTTATTACAACAAACTCAACCTCCACGGTGCCCCCTTCGCTCTTGAAATATAGAGAAGTTGTGGTTTGCGATCGCCAGGGAAACCGTGCCGGATTAAACACGTTTTTTTGAAGGCTGAGGAATTAGTTTCAGTAACAATTCCTGGTTGCAATGGCTGATGCCACGAGACTACTAAAGGGCTATTGTCTTCATTTTCGAAACAAAATATTGCAAGTTATCTAATGAGTTCTTTCTTTCCATCAAACAGAACGTCTGCGACAAAGAGGAGAGTTTTGGAAACAACTTGTTAACAACCCTTGCTGGTTTATTTGTGTCAAACAGTAACGAAGATATCAGAATTGAAATCAACCCCATTGAAACTGGATGGAAAGTCAAAGGAAACAAAGTCCAGGTATACACTTAGTTCGTTTTATAAGGCTAATCTGCACATTGAGGACCTAAGGGGGAGCTCTACTCTTGTGGAGAAAGAATCATCTGGTTTTGGTCTCAGAATGAGGCTCAGTTCCTCTCCCTGGTCATCAATTACCTTGATCAGATGTGGAGGTGCAAACCCTCTTTTTCCTTGGCCTCAGTTGAGATTGAACCTCGTAGAACTCATAAGGCGAGTAATCTCTGTATCGTTCCCCTACAGCTAGGACCCTCCAGTTAACTTTTTTTATATCGTTCGATTTACAGGGGATTAAAGCAAAAGATGCCTGGCACTCACTTGAACATGATTCTACAGGCTTTCCTCACTGCCAATTTAACATCGAGCACGTCGGCAAATCGAAGCAAGCATTCTTTTGTGGAATAACAGCATCGCACGGAAGAGATCAGGCTAACACAGAACTAGTGGCATATTTTGAACAGGTAGGTTTACGATATGGAACTTTGTATGTATTTGTGACGCTGGAGACGAAGGTTTTAAAAGAGAGAGGGTCAGGCAATAGGAGCGATGAGTGTTGGGAGCTTGAACCCTCCGATATACTGTCTAATTCATTATTACTGAATAAAGGTTTCCTTTCGGTCATACCCTTGTCATCTAATACGGTTACAAATTATAAAAACAGATACCAGTCCATGAAATATTTAGCTGAATAGGATGTGAAAAAATACACGTTTAGATAACCGTTTAAAAGGAACCTTTATCAACTACGTCACTAAAACAACACAGATTGGGTAGAGCTCGAAACTATTTTGCAATGACCGAGTAAAGATTATGTCAAAGCTTTGGATGGGAAAAGGAAAAATTGTTTTGTGAAATGGAGATTTCCAAGAAACTGGAAAGTATGTATTAAGGCATGCATACTTATTCATTATTTTGTATCGTACAGGAGAGAAGCAGAGGAGAACTCAACCAACCATCTGAAACGCTTCAGACACTGAACACCACCACCCCCTATGTGAAAAATGGTAACACACTTTGTTCCTGTTCTTTTCAATATAAAAACAGCAACATCGCCAACAGCATTGGGTACAAGGACATAAAGAGAACCTCCACTAGCAATCGAGTTCTGTCTGATTAACAAGGTCTTTGGAAAGGTTATATACAGAAATTGGGTCACATGCGTAAATATTTTACCACTTCTCTTCTCTTGAAAGATGGATCCATACTCTTAACTGAATAATTTATGGCTCGGTGGCTAGGTTGAATTAAATGTTTACAAGCCTTCAATTTATACTAATGTTTAAAGACAATTTAGTGATCGATTGAACAAAAAAAAAAGTTGATACAAATCTACAAATTGCAAACAAGTTGATAAATTGCTAATTATTTATCAAATACATTGCAGAGATGAGCCCCTTAATCTTCCTAACTGTTCATGTGGCCCTAGGATGCAAAAGCACTCGTTTAAAAGGTATGACATTGGCTTTCTTATTCTATTTTATTCCGTTTTGTTCCCCGAGCAATAATGGAATTGCATCTGATGACAGAAAAAAACATAAGAAAAAAATATGTATGTTAACGTATTTTGTGGAAAAAGTCAATTTTAAGAAATCTAAAACGATAAGCCTATGGCTAATGACAAAACGACTGTTTCCAACCGATGTTTATTTAAGGTCCGTAAGATTATTTCCTCACTGTGTCACTTAAATTTCCCACCAATTTATTTTTGTCAACAGGATCAGCCCAGCACGTCAACGTTTGTGGCGAAGAAAGACGGTCTTTAGTCTGGTCATGCTGAACACAACTGCCATCCAAACTTAATCAAGACATTCCGAGAAAACAAAGTGTGACAAGAAATTAAGAGATTTTTTTAACGATTTCCATAACAGTTGAAAAATAAAAACAAAATCAGTCCCTTTCTCAACTTGTAGTGATAAATGAGTTGTATTCTGGTCGTTTTATATGTTGTAGTTGCCTGTTGAATATCAGTTATTCCTGATATTTTAAATGATAAATATATTTAGTAACTTACTACCGATGATTGGTGTTTGGAATAACTTAAGGAAAAAATGTTAGAATTATATAATGTTCACGTACTTTCTGCTACTCTCTCTCGAGCTTTACGGATAGAAAGAAACACTATAAATATTAAGACTCGCTAAGTAAGAATTAAATATTAAATGTAAAACGCACAGTTTATAATGTGAAAAACCATTGCGTTCCAGTTAAGATTTTGACTTAAAAGCGTGCACATTGTCATTTCATTTAATTTTCATATTTGAAAAGTGAAAGCAATGTTAGGGTTGCTTTCCATTTGTCCAAAATAAATACCAAGTCATCGACAGCTTCAGTTGTAGCTATACCTAAAATATCCTTAGCTTGCTCGTGAGACCTGAGTTGTTTTTTGTGGATTCATTGCCAAAGAAGAATGAGAATATGTCTTGCATTATTAAATTTCCAACACACATTTCATGTAAAAGCTAGAGTGACATATATAAAGTGAAGTACAATTCGCTCACAAAATTCATTAAGCTATCAAAGGTAAAGAATGTAGGAGTTGGTCACTTACAACTTCTATGATTTTGGCTAATGAAAGGCGTCCGCAAAAAAAAAAATGCAAATTACCCTCTTGGCTTTTAAAGGTAGGAGAAGAGAGTAACAATAAAAAAAATTAAAAATCTGATATTTATAACAATCTCAGGAGACTTTTCATAACCTATCGGGGAATTCTAAAAAAACCCAAAAGTAGAGTTGCTTCTTTGTCATAGTACGTTTT